ACCACAAGTAGGTGTGTGTGAATTTCAAACAGGCAATATTCCCACTTATGGAAGAAAATAATTTTAAACACATTAAGAGCTTTCTACTTCATGATAATCATTTTCTAAAAAGAGAGGAGGGAACTCTTATTGATCTAGTACATGTTAAATACCACGTGAGGTACTTTATTCCTATTATCTTACATAGTCTTCACAACTCACCCACGCAGGTACAAACTAACCCAATTTTAATTTTTTTATTTTTTAATATATTTTTATTGATTTCAGAGAGGAAGGGAGAGGGAGAGATAGAAACATCAATGATGAGAGAGAATCTGATTGGCTGCCTCCTGCATGCCCCCTACTGGGGATTGAGCCCACAACCTGGACATACGCCTTTGACTGGAATCGAACCTGGAACCCTTCAGTTTGCAGGCCAATGCTCTATCCACTGAGCTAAACCAGCTAGGACCAAGGCTAACTCAATTTTATAGATGAGGAATCTGAGCCTTGTCCAAAGCAACCTAGGTAGAAAGAGCATGGGTGGCAGAGAGGTCTGATTTCAGAGTCTGTAATTTCATTCTCTACCACAGTCTCAACTAAAATGTGATGAATAAGTAATTAGACCTCACTCCAGTTTTCAGTGATATGGAATATGATTTTAACTTTTTTTACTCAGAAAGCTTACTTCACACCTTATGTGAGAGAGACTTAAAGATGTCTGCTCAAGGCTCACAGCCATCAAGCTGAATGGGTTCTAAGGGCAAACGGAACAATCCCCTGGCAGGGAAGAGCCCCCCTCTCTGGGCTCCTTCCCTAACCATCTCTCTCAACCCCCATCAGGGCCCAGATCCTCCTCCTCTGCCCACGTCCTTCGTGGTGACACTCCTCTCTGTTCAGTCTTCACTTCAGATGCTCTCTGCCCTCCGTGGGCAATCTCTTCTATGCCCTTGGCTTCACCACCCCTCAAACTACCTGCAGCTCACACCTCTGCAGTTCTCCAGACGTAATTTGCATAGATAGCTCGCTGAGCTCTCCAACGCAACTATTCCAAAGTCTAACTCATTTTCTTCCTGATCCACCCTTCCCTAAACATTCCGTTCCTTCTTCCTCCTGTATTCTGTGTCTTGGCACCACCACCTGCCCAACGAATCAGGTGAGAAATCACGGAGTCATTTTGGACTTCCCCCAGTTATATCCAGTTAAGCCTTGAGGTCTTCTCATCAATCGCTCTCAAATGCATCCGTTTTTCTCTTCTCCTTCAGCCAGTGTCTTGGTTAGTTGTGGCACTCACCACCCATACCCCCGACCATTGGCATCAGGTGGTCTCTGGCCTCCAAAGTCCCTGCCAGTGTGCACCCCCACCTCTAGCTGCTGTAGCTAATGCTCCATTAAGTAAAATGTTTTATCTCCTTCTCCAACTTAAAGCCTTTTTCTGGTGCCTTCGTGCCTGCAGGATAATAGCATAAAGGGCTCTACACATTCCACCTGCTCCACTGTACACTCCAACATGAAACTCCATCATCAAACTACTTCGTTTCCAGAATATAGCTCCTTTATCCCTCTCTGCCTTGGTAAATGTGCCTCCACCCAATGGCCTTGCTGACTTCTAATTATTGCCTTTTCAGGAAACTAGACTGGTTAGTCCTGAGGGGTCCATCTTCTTTGAGACGCTTCCCTTTGCGCCCTGTGCTCACATCTATCTTTGCTTCACGGTCACTGTATAGCTTTGTAGGTGTCTCCCTTTCCTATGCCAGATCCTTGAGGCCAGCACAAGGCCTACCACATAGTGAATGCTCAATAATTGTACTTATTTAAATTACATGAAAATGTTATATTTTTAAAGTTCAAAGTCCACATCTAAGAGAATCTTATCCAGATGAAACTCGGAAGAGAGCAGTTCAACACAAGCTTCTCTGAAGTCATTTCTGTGACCACCTGTTTATTGCGTATTCGGTACAACCACCTAACAACCAAGTGAGGCAACTGAACCCTGAGTTGGATTATGGACTGAAAAGTACAGTCACAAGGGACATTGCAATTAGAGAAAATGGAAATGGATTATATGTTAGGTGATATTATTGAAATAATGTTCAGTTTCTTGGGAATGATAATGGCATTAGTCAGCCAGGGTGTCCTTTCTTTTAAACATAAAAAGCTTTATGATGTCTGTAACTTATTTTCAAAGAATTCATTTTAAAAGAACATAATATAGCCCTAGCTGGTTTGGCTCAGTGGATAGAATGTTGGCCTGCCGACTGAAGGGTCCAGGGTTCGTTCCGGTCAAGGGTACATGCCCTGGTTGCAAGCTCAATCCCCAGTAGGGGCGTGCAGGAGGCAGCCGATCAGTGATTCTCTCTCATCATTGATGTTTCTATCTCTCTCTCCCATTCCCTCTCTGAAATCAATTAAAAATAAGTAAATAAAAGAGCATAATATACAGAGAGATATATAAAATGTGGGAAAATGTTAACTGATAAAAAAAATGTGAGTATTCTTTGTACTAATTGTTCAACTCTGCATGTTTGAAAATTTTCCCAAATAAAACATTCAGGGAAAATGCTAAGAACACAACCAAAATTAAAATAAATATTTTGAAATTTGAAAGGCACAGTCATCCCTCACAAATTTGCTCTCCTCGTTGACCAACCATCACAACTGTTGGTTTTTATTTGCCTAAATGGTATCATATCACACTTGAGAAACTTAGGCAAATAAAAGTGTGCTTCCTAATTGGTACATGTAATTCCTTGAGATCAACCGTTGAAGATTTTCATCTAGGAAAATTTTCAGTGATAAGGAAGCAAGAAAGGTTGGTGGAAGTAGTCTTGCTTTAGTCCTTTCAGAATTGCCAAGTCTCTAGTAAGAGCTAGTTAACTTTGCTGTGAAGGTGATAAAAATTTAGCCCTTCTCTTAAATTTCTATTATATTCAGAGGGAAGTTAAGAAAAACAATAATTTATCACCTTTATTTAATATAGTTAATGAATGCCCAGCAGGTGTGGCTCAGTGGTTGAGCATTGACCTATGAATCAGGAGGTCACAGTTTGAGTCCCAGTCAGGGCACATGCTGGGTTATGGACTCGATCCCCAGGAGCAGGCGTGCAGGAGACAGCTGATCAATGGTTCTCTCTCATCATTGATGTTTCTATCTCTCTCTCCCTCTCCTTCCTCTCCAAAATCAACAAAAATATGTTAAAAAAATAGTTAATGAACCTATTTTATTAGATAGTCTAATGTACCCAAGAGAATTGAAAATATATAGCTATAAAAACAAATAAAATAAGAAAGAAAAGAAAAAACAAAAAATTAACAGAAAACATATGGCTACACAAAATCTTGTACATGGCTATTCACAGCAGCATCCTATATAATGAAGAAGTGATAGCAAATTAACCCTCACACCCTCACAAGAAGGCTGCCTATGACCAGGCCGGCAGGGGGGTTAGTGAGGGACTACCAAATGACTGAACAAGCAGGCTGCATGGGCAATTAGGCTGGCAGGAGGGGCAGTGAGGGGCAACTAGACCAATGGGAGGCAGTTGGGGGTGACCAGGCCAGCAGGGGGGACAGGTAGGGGCAACCAGGCAGGCAGAAAGGCGAGTGATTAGGAGCCAGCAGTCCAGGATTGTGAGAGGGATATCCGATCCTGGGGATTGGGCCTAAACCAGCAGTTGGACATCCCCCAAGGGGTCCTGGATTGGAGAGGATGCAGGCTGGGCTGAGGGGACCCCCTCACCCCCCTGCACGAATTTCATGCACTGAGCCTCTAATTATTCATAACAGCCAGAAATAGAAACAATACAAATGTCTATCAACTGATAAACAATGGGACATTAGTCATAGAAAGGAATTAAATACTGATACATGACACAACACAGATGAAAATATTATGCTAAGTTAAAGAAACCAGACACAAAGGCCACATAATGTATAATTTCATTTGTATAAAATGGTGAGAATAAAGAGTTTATTAGTGTTTGTCTGGAGCTAGGGATAGAGGGGTCAGGAATAGGGAATTATTGCTAATGAGCACAGGGTTCTTCTGGGGGTGACAAAAATGTTCTGAAATTAGATGGTGGAGATGGTGGTAGAACTTAGTGAATATATTAAGAAACACTGAATTGTGCACTTTAAATGGATGAATACTATGGTATGTGAATTATATCTTAATTGTATTTTTAAAAGTTAACATAGCCCCAGCTGGTTTGGCTCAGTGGATAGAGAGCATCAGCCTGGGGACTGAAGCATCCTGGGTTTGATTCCGGTCAAGGGCACATGCCTCGGTTGTGGGCTTGATCCCCAGTAGAGGGCATGCAGGAAGCAGCCAAACAATGATTCTCTCTCATCATTGATGTTTTTCTCTCTCTCTCCCTCTCCCTTCCTCTCTGAAATCAATATATATATATATATATATTTTTTTTTTTAAGTTAACAAAGCAATTTTATGGAACACTCCGAGGGGAACCCAAGGGCTTGCTGGGTTTGATTGCACCTTTGGTCTCCAAGTCACCACTGGCCAGAGCAAAGAGGGGCCCCAGACACTGCAGGGTGCTATGCACCCTCCCCCCCAACCACCCTCACAGGGTCATCGTAGGGCCAATCTCAGCAGACCCCACATTCCCACTCACCACCAGAATCCCAGTACAGTCTTCGTGTACGTCTCATACCCCATCTCTTCTTCATTGTCCTTCACTGTACTGTCCTGTACTGTCATCCAATATTTGGGTTTGTTCATTGCTTTATCTCACCTGTATCTAAACAGTGCTGAGCCAACAGTAGGTGCTTAATAAATTTCTAGTGGATGAATAAAAGTTTACACAGAAATTTGCACTGAATATTAAAATATGACTCTATGCTTTAAAATGTTTTTTCTCCCATAAGACTTTCTCCTCCATTTAAATAGGTATCTAATCTTTAAGAAATCTTGCACAAATGGTGTTTTATTATAGATAATAAAATTTATGAATCTTTATGTTAAAACATTCAGGCATCATAAACATAAATATTTCAATATTCAAAATTCAAATTTACAACAAGAAATTTATTTTTAGACTGTGGTTATTGCTGTGCCAACTTTATAATTCCTTATTCAGAGTCAAAAGTGTAGGCAAGCCCTAGAAACGTAGCAGAAGCATTTCCGCACACTGGATCCATAATCTAGATTGTGCAGAAGTGTTTCCGCTAGATTCATAGGGCGCTCTATGGAAGAAAGAGGCCAGGACTGGTCATCTGGTTGCCCTTCGGACCTTCTGCAACTCTTCAATGGGTTTCCATTGTTGGTTGATTGTTATAAGCTTAAATAAAAAAGCAAAATAAAGCATTTCGTTAGGATCTGTCCTTCATCCTTACATCCCCCTTTGGGATGTGTCCACACTCCTCTTTAGAAAAAGCATCACCTTAGCATTTGTAGCCAAACAATCACCTCCTCTTCCCATCTCTAAAGCATGGACAAAACAGTAATATGGGTTGGTTTCTATCACACTCAACCTCCAAAAAGCCCTTGGGTTCCTGAGTGTTACAGGATCAGAGAGAAAGGTCTTATCCATCCGTCCCCTTTCATTTAACAAGATCTAGATTTTTAAATTTCCCATGGTTTTATAAGTTTACAAAGTAATCTGCTCCCTGTGCGTGGATGTGTAATGCTCCTAGTACGGGGTGTGGCAAAATTTCCTCATTGTAATTACTCAATTAAAGGACTCACAGTCAGAGATTCTCATTTACCCTCACAATTCTTCTATTACCCCAGGACCTAGGCGATGTAGGTAGTTTTAAAAGATCCTAAGTGTCCTCACCAGGTCAAACTGTGTTATTTGAAAGTTTTGTTTAAAAATAAAATAGCTTTCCTGACAGACCTAAATAGTGTTCAATGTAACAGACTAAATGTTTCTCACTTCCAAAATATTTAAAATGTAAAAAGCATTTGCAATAGTCTCAAAAAGGTAAGTGAATATTAGTTACTTTTGCTTAAAATGCAACTTCTGTTTTCAGGAACTCCTGCAATGGTCCATAATAGACCTTATATTAACTTTAGATAAATTATGGAAAAAGTGACATATTAATATATGGGCCAGGCATGGTGCTAAAGGACTCTCTGTATTTTATCTTCTTTAATCCTCTTAAGTCTGTTATTGTACCCATTTTATAGATTCTGAGAACCTCAGAGAGGCCAAGTTGTCTAAATCACCTGTGAAGCTCAGCTGGTGTGGCTCAGTGGTTGAGCGGCGACACATGAACCAGGAGGTTATGGTTTGATTCCCAGTCAGGGCACATGCCCGGGTTGTGGGGTCTATCCCCAGTAGGGGATATGCAGGAGGCAGCTGATCAATGACTCTCTCTAATCACTGATGTTCCTCTCTCCCTCTCCCTTCTGCTCTCTGCAATAAAAAAATATATTTTTTTAAAAATAAAATTGCCTGTGAATAACGAGCAAGAGTCTGAACTAGATCTCTACAACTCTGTAACACTCTCTTTAACACTACATACACCAAATGGCACCCTAAAAGTGAAAGGTATTAAACCTATTTTGCTGACAATGATGCTAAGGCTTGGCTAAATGTAAATCACTTTTTAATGCGGCAATTACCTTTCCAGGTACATTGGGATCCACATTTTCCCAAGGTTCTGGATTTCTTTTTCGATCAATGCTAAACAGAAAAGAAAGCTGATGAAATATTAACGTAGGTGCATTTAAACCAGCCCTGATATGGGGTCTATAAACATGCTAGGGACAGATCCGGACTGCATGCTAACTAAGGCTTCCATCCGTTGGTGAGCTGCAATTGACGGGAGATTCCTTAAAGGAGCTTCGGTTTGGCTCAGACACTAGGGGTTATTTCCTCTGCAGGTGAGGAGGTCTGGATTCCACTTACTGGGCTCGACTGGAGAACCTTCTCTAAAGAGCAGCAGCGGTGGAAGTCCAGGCCAGGAGGAAGCACTAATGTCCTTGCCCACAGGACCAGCAGGAGGGCTGGGCTCGGCCGCTGCAGGGGGTGACCCTAGGGGTCCTGGGTCCCGCTCCCAGAGCTGCCCTTTCCAGCCCTGCGAGCTCAGTTCCAAGTTTCTCTTTTCCTCGTGTCCCAGGAAGCCTGGTATTTCACTTATTATATCCACAGCTGAGATTGGGTCCATTGCAAACAACTAAATCTACAAACTCTACTGCATTGGGAACGATCTTTCCAGTAAACTGAAAGTTTATTTTATTTTTTTAGTAAACTGAACATTTAAAATTTCATTTAAAATGATCTAAGTCTGATAGCCCAAAAGACCATTTAAGAATTTTAAATGTCAAAACTTTATCAAACTTTACTTTGCTGCCGGAGAAGAGGGAGTGGCAGTGGATGGAAGGACACTGAGAACCAAGGAACGAACTAATTTTATGAAAATCACAATTTGCAGTCTTCTGACACCAGGATGCTTCCCAGCCCTGACTCCCCTTCTCAGCTGGGCGGTTTTGTCCAGGGGAGGGGGAAGGGGAAGAAGGAAATTGATGTCATACATTTCATAAGCTGCAGGTCCCCCAACATTTCTAAAAACGTGTCTGTGAATGATGTCTACTTACATCACATCGGGTTTTTTATTAAGGGAATAGACAGCAAAAGATGACGCTCCGCTCGCTGCCGCCGTTATGATTAACGCCAAAGGAATAAGCTAACAGAGAACATTGAATTCGTTAAATTAAGGGCAAATCCCGCTGCTTCAAAGTGAAATGTAACAGAATAGCTATGCACCACCCGCTCATCTTTAAAAATAAAAAATTGTAGTCAAGATTTTTCCATTGCTTTAAATACTTACTTCCTTATTTTTCATCAGGACTCGGAAAACCTTCATGATGACCGCAGTGTAGAATGCCAAATCTAGACTAAAAAAAAAAAAAAAAATCCAAGATGTTGATGAAATTTCAGCCCCTAGGACCACACTCCGTGGGCGCCAACAGATCCAACGAACTCTCCAAGGCAGCCTGCGGCCGGCTCACCTGGGGGCGGGGCGGGGCGGGGCGGGGCGACCGACGCGCGCGCGGAGGATGCAAACGACCACGACCTCAGCGGCCGGCCGGGCGCGCTCCTTATAAACTGACCATAACCGTCCGGAAGGGCCGGGCCGCGGCGCTCTGGTCACGGGTCGGGTCGCGGACGTGCGGGACCTGACTCGCTTTCCCCGCTCGGCGCCCGGCGCGAGAGCGCCCCCTGCAGGACGCCGCGCGCGCAGACCCTGCGCAGCCGAATGCGGGCGCCCCCTGCCGTTCGCTGCGATTATTACCCGCCCTGGCTGGGCGTTGGCGCTCCGGGAACTCAGGGTGTGGAAGCGGGTGGTACTGAGAACAGGGGGATCGCTGCTGGCCAGGGCCTGGGTGAAAACCTGCGCCCTAAAAAAGGGTCCGGAAAAGGAGCTGCAGAGCCAGAGGCAGCGAAATTAGAATTACACCCAGCAAGCCACATTTCCGCTTCAGTGAATGCCCAGGTTGATGAACTTGTGGGAGATGCAAGGTCAGTATGGAATTTGGTCTTCCCCAGGATGACTACCAGGCACAGCTCCCACCTTTTAAACCCCAAAGGAACCCACTCAGGACACTTCATCCTCTGTGGCTGCCCCAAAGCCCATAATCCCTCGGGGGAGCTTCCCTTCCCCACCAGAAACTTCTAGCACCTTCTCTAGCTGCTGCAACCCAGGTTTTCAGGGATGTGGAGCTATACTGCTTGGTTCCCACACACCAGGAATTAGATTTTAGTCAGCCCAGCTCAGGCTTTGTAATGAAAATATTATTTTATTAAATACTTTTTGCTAAAATTAATTCTGCCTACCCTTCAGTGGGTACCTAATTACCAGGTTTAGCAATTACTGGATTTGCTCAATTTTGGCAGGTCTGGGGGTATACCTTTGTCTAAGGTTATTGATGTGGCTCAGAAAGGAGTTTCCGCTCAATGCACAGGGAAAACTATACTTCCCAGGTGCTTAGAAACTGAAGTATTTTAATTTTCTCACCACTATTAAGAACAACTCTTGGAAGCTGTCCAGAGCCATCCTCAAATCAGATTAAAACGGAGTCAAAGCCGACAGATTGGTGGTGGTTACCAAAGGGGAAGTGAGGTGGGGGAGGATGAGAGGGTAAATATATGGTGACAGAAGGAGACTGGGCTTCTGTGGTGAGCACACAATACAGATGTTTTATAAAGGTGTACACCTGAAATGTATGTTACTAACCAATATTATCCCAATAAACTTGGGGTGTGGGGGGGAACGAAGTCAAAGAAATCCTTGATCTGACATCATCATTTATTAAGTATTTTAATGAGAGAAAACACATGGCTTTTGTCCTCAGGGAGCTTCCAAAGTTCTGATGAGACATTTTCACATCAAAATTCAGCTTCTAACCAAAGTATGGGTACCAGACTTCCAGACTGACACTAGGAACTTTTTCTAGAAAAAAAAAAAGGGGGGGCCTCCAGCTAGAGCCTGAGGGAGGGGTTCCAGCCAGGGATGGCAAAGGCTCAATGCTGCCTTGTCCTATAAAACCAATACGGATGGAGAATATGAATGAAAGCTGTCAGAATTCTAAGTTTTCTAGGTATTTCCCCTACTACTCAAAAGTGAGGGGTCAGGTTGTTAGAATAACTTAGATGAATTATATGCCTATAAATAATTATTCCCCAAATAGTGAGGTTTGGCTTAATCAATGTGTCCTGGCTTCAATCAGAAATAGAAAATTTTCCAACTTAACATCTATGACTTCATATATTTCATGCACTACGCTCTGATCAGACCCTTAATTCCTTTTGGTTGTATGTAACTTTCTGCGTGATTTGTCTGAGACCCATGCTCCCAGCTGCCATTACTGTCTCATTTGCGTATACTTGTGAGTGAAGAAAGGCTCAGTGAGATGCTTACCTGATATTGTTAGATGAGAAAAACAAGTTACATAGTAAACCATGTCTTATCTATGCATCCATAAGGAACTGGAAGGTTAAATACTCAAGTGTTTTCTTTGTGTTCATCTGTATTTTCTAGCATTCTAATTGCTTTCATAATAATGGAAAATAAAGATGTATACATAATCTACCTCCTTAAAAATACTTATAAAAGGAAAAATAGTAGCTATACAGTGGAGAAACTCAATAATTCCATAAACAAGTGGTCAAAATTAACGTGATCTCTAAGGACACAGCACTTACATACTGCTCACTGGTAAGGCAGAGCCTGAATCTATCATGGTGCCATATCAGACAAACACAGATCAGGAAGCATCTTCTTACCTAATAATAGACAAACATGGTAATTGACCATACCTTCGCTACGCCTCCCATTGGCTAATCAGCGAGATATGCAAATTAACTGCCAACAAAGATGGCGGCCAGCAGCCACGGAGCTGGAACGAGCAGGAAGCTTGCTTGCTCCAGGGATGGAGGAAGCAAAGGTTCCCCGCCTGCCGCGGCCCGGCTCTGAGCTCCGAAAGCAACAAAGTTTCAATTATAGAAGCTAAACAAACCCCAGATACCTGCTTTCAGCGGCTGTGGCCACAGAGCTGGAGCGCAGGAGGCTTTCCCTCCCACCCGCCCTTGCCGGCTCTAAGCTCCTCTCAGGCAACAAAGTTTCAATTATAGAAGGTAAATAAATCCCAGATACCTACTTTTAGCCAGTGTGCCCACTGAGCTAGAGCCTTGGGCTGCCCCTGGCGATGGAGGAAGCCAAGCCCTGGCCCCAGGCTACAAAGTTTCAATTATAGAAGGTAAATAAATCCCAGAAAAAAAAAGAAAAGAAAAAAAGGAGAGGCTGGGAGCTTCTGTTGCTGGGGAGGCTTGGCCAGCCTGAAAATGGCCCTCAGCCCTTCACCCAGACTGGCCAGGCACCCCCGTGGGGACCCCCCACCCTAAAGGTGGTGTGGCCAGCCTGAAAACAGCCACCAGCCCCTCACCCAGGATGGCTAGGCACCCCAGTGGGGACCCCCACCCTTCAGGGCAAACCAGCCAGCCCCCACCCATGCACCAGGCCTCTATCCTATATAATAAAAGGGTAATATGCAAACAGACCCTAACAGCAGAAAGACTGGGAATGACTGGTCACTATGGCACACACTGACCACCAGGGGGCAGACGTTCAATGCAGGAGCTGCCCCCTGGTGGTCAGGTCGCTCTCACATGGGAGGAGCTCTGCTCAGCCACAAGCCAGGCTGATGGCTGCCAGTACAGCAGTGGTGGTGGGAGCCTCTCCTGCCTCCTCAGCAGCGCTAAGGATGTCTGACTGCAGCTTAGGCCTGCTTCCCGCTGGCAAATGAACATCCCCCAAGGGCTCCCTAGCTGCCAGAGGGATGTCTGATTGCCAGCTTAGGCCCAATCCCCTGGGAAATGAACCCAAACCAGCAGGTGGTCATCCCCCGAGGGGTCCCAGACTGCAAGAGGGCACAGGCCGGGCTGAGGGCCTCCCTGCCCCGTGCACAAATTTTTGTGCACCGGGCCTCTAGTTGTTCTATAAAACAATTTGTACTCTTCAAAAAATGCCAAGGACAAAAAAGACTGAGGAACTGTTTCAGATTAAAAGAGGCTAAAGAGTAAAGAGACAGCCCAGCTGACGTGGCTCAATGGTTGAGCATCTACCTGTGAACCAGGAGGTGGCTGGTTCGATTCCTGGCCAGGGCACATGCCTGGGTTGCAGGCTCCATCCCCAGTAGGGGTGTGGAGGAGGCAGCCGATCAATGATTCTCTCTCATCATTGATGTTTCTATCTCTCTGACCCTCTCCCTTCATCTCTGAAATCAATAGAATATATAATAAAAGAAAAAAAAAAAGAGTAAAGAGACAGGATGACTAAGTGGAGCATAGGGTCCTAGACTGGATCCTGTATGACTACTGGCACAATGGAGGAAAATCATGGGTCAATAGATTGATATATTGTATCAATGTTCAATTTCCTGAATTTGATAAGTGCACTGTGGTCATATAAGAAAATACCTTATTTGTAAGAAATACGCACTGAAGTATTAAGGGGATGAAGGGGCATTAGATATAATACCTATTCTTAAACACAGGCATACCTCAGATATACTTCAGATTCGGTTCCAGACCACTGCAATAAAGTATCACAATAAAACGAGTTGTAATCTTTTTGCTGGTGGAGAGTCTTGCCTTCAATTTGTAAAAAATGCAACATCTTGGGAGCGTAATAAAGCAAGGCGCAATAAAAATGAGGTGTGTTCAGCATATAGCAAAATGTTAAAAAATGGTGAATATGGGTTAAGAATATATGAGTTGTTTGTGCTATTCTTGCAACTTTTCTGTAAGTATGAAATTATTTCAAAATAAAGTTTAAAAGCAATCAAACAAAAACAACCACCCCACTACAAAATCAACGTAATATATATACTTTCTTTCCAAATTATGGTATTTTAATATACCTTTTAGAACTAAGATGAATCTTGGCTTATCAGGCACAAGATTGTTCTATTTTTTTATTTACAGGAAATACCATATATACAAACCCTAAAAGTGAATTTGCAAACTATAGTGCAAGTTCACATTTTAATTGATACTTGAGCAGGCATGTAATTTTAAAATATCCTCTAAGTTAGAAAATCCTTGTTTTTGAAATAAGTTTTATGGTTTTTAGAAAGTGCTCCTGTTTCACTGTGGTTGCTTCTAGTCCATCTTCTTGCAGAGCCAGCAAGGCAGCCTATAAGAGACAATAAGAGATAAGTTGCTCCATTTCTGTTTTGTAATATATAAAGTCTGAATGCAAAAATCTCAGTCATATTTCATAGAATTCCAGTATCCATGACAGTAAGAACATTAAGCTAAAAAGTTAATGATTGAAAGTCCTCTTAGAACTTTGCTTCTACATTAAACTCTGGCCTTAAATAAGAAAAAGCAAATTGCAGAATAATATATACATTATGAGCCCATTTACATACTTAAAGATGAAAGACTATCTTCTTGACCTCAGACTAGGAGTTTCTAAACAGGACACAGCACTGACCATAAAGGAACAGATCAAATATATACTTTATGACCCAACAATTCTCTTTATAGATATATACATACATGAAACACATATATACTCATGTATACCAATAGACATGTTCAAGTTGTTCATAGCAGCATATTTCATAATAGCAAAATAGCAGTAACCTGAATGTTCAGGAGTGCTTTCCTTAGGGATAGAGAGTGGGAAGGCCCAAGAAAAGCTTCTGGGAAGTTGCTAATATTCTTTCTTAACCCGAGTGGTGGATATACAAGTGTGTTCACTTTATGTTAATTCAATGAACTGTATCCTTATGATCTGTGCATCCTTCTGAATGTTATATTCTATAGAGGTTTATGGAAAGAATATATGCACCCCTATGTCCCTTGTAGCATTATTTATAACTAATAAATAGTGGCCAGGTGTATGAATTTGTGCATATTGAAAGGAAATTAATTAGAAGAAATATTTTAATATCGCTATTCGCTCTTGCTCTATAATAGAAGTGTCAACCAAATTCACGATCGACAATGACAGATAGAAACACATGCATGCGACTGGCACCAGCAAGAGCTTTATATGTATCGTGCATGCGCGAGTCAACTTAGCCTTTTATATATGGTCTATATCAGCCGTGGGCAAACTACGGCCCGCGGGCCGAATCCGACCCGTTTGAAATGAATAAAACTAAAAAAAAAAAAAGACCGTACCCTTTTATGTAATGATGTTTACTTTGAATTTATATTAGTTCACACAAACACTCCATCCATGCTTTTGTTCCGGCCCTCCGGTCCAGTTTAAGAACCCATTGTGGCCCTCAAGTCAAAAAGTTTGCCCACCCCTGGTCTATATAGAAGAAACTTGTTTAATTATACCTGCTTTCTGATTTTGCTAAACCTTTTCCAGCCCACTGAAGCACCCCAACTTCTCTTTCAGGTAATTGTCAGCAACACAGCAGTAAATATCAACATGAAGCAGATTATTATTGCAGATCACGCAGAGAGAACAAAGGGTAAAATATTTAACTGTAGCAGTGTTTGACTATATTCTGCACAGTGAGAAAACCTGAAGTCATTTTCAAGTTCCACCATTTCTTACTTCTTTTCAGTCAGGTCAAGTTTCTAAGCTTTCTAAATCTCTGTTTTCCAGCTAATGAAAAGAAAATAGGATTCTACTGAGTCTCCTATCTACCTACTCCAGGACTTCTGTGAGGATCAAATGAGATGAGGCATGGGAAAATGCTTCACAGACATTTGGTTAAACTGTAAAATGTTTCCACCTGGCTATAAAATGTCATGTTTCTGGGCTGAAGAAACTCCAAGGAGGCTAGTCACTAGGGAGAGGAAGCTGGGTGTTGCTACATGATGTCATTACCCGGCACCCACAGCCACCATTTCCAGGCTGGGCTGGGCTGTGGGCCACATTTTGCGCCATGGGGTCTCGGCAGCGTCAGCTGCGATTTGGTGGGCTGTCACTCCAGGTTGGTGGCGGGGCCTGTGTCCCACTTGGGGGGAGCCGAGTGTTGCTTTGTGGGCGCCAGGTCCACGGTGCCATTTCTCTGTAAATGGACAGTGCGCGTCACGGCAGCTCCTGCATTGAGCGTCTGCCCCCTGGTGGTCAGTGTGTGTCATAGTGACTGGTCGGACAGTCGGACACTTAGCATATTGGCCTTTTATATGTATAGGTAGCCAAGGTATGGAACAATTCAAATGCCCATCCAGAGAACAAGTAGATAAAAAAGCTACAGTGCACACATAGAATGGAATATTACTCAACAATCTACACTAATAAAAGAGAAACATGGTAATTAGCGTACAACCGCTACCCTTTTCATTGGCTAATCAGTGAGTATATGCAAATTAACTGACAACCAAGATGGCGGCCGGCAGCCATGCACTGAAGCGAACAGGGAGGCTTGCTTGCTCCAGTGACTGGCGGACTCCAACGTTCCCCGCCTGCCGCTGCCGGCCTCTGACCTGGCCGTTTGAAACATTGTAACAAATATAGAAGCTAAACAAAACCCCAGAAACCAGCTTTCAGCCGCCGGGATCTCAGAGCTGGAGTTATACATTGTTTCGATTATAGATCGCAAACAAACCAGATACCAGATTTCAGCAGCGGAAGCCTCAGAGCTAGAGCCAGAGCTAAAGCTGGCCCAGAATGAAAAAAAAGAAAAAGAAAAAAAGGAGCGGTTGGGAGCTTCAGTCAATCGCCAGCCTGAAAGCAGCCCTCAGCCCCTCACCCAGACTGGCCAGGCACCCCAGTGGGGACCCCCACCCTGAAGGGTGTGTGACCAGCTGCAAACAGCCATCATCCCCTCATCCAGGCTGGCCAGGCACCCCAGTGGGGACCCCCACCCTGATCCAGGGCACCCTTCAGGGCAAACCAGCCGGCCCCCAGGCCTCTATCCTATATAGTAAAAGGGTAATATGCCTCCCAGCACTGGGATCAGCGAAGCCGCGAGGCCTCCTGGCACCGGATCAGCGTGACAGGGGGCAGCGCCCATACCCCCTGATCGCCCTGCGACTCTGTGTGTGACAGGGTGCGGCGCCCCAACCCCCCCCCCCCCCCCCACAGGCCCTGCTCTGTGTGTGACAGGGTAGAGCCATAACCTCCCCATCGGCCCTGCCCTGAGTGTGACAGTGGCAGTGCCCCAACCCCGATCGGCCCTGCTCTGTGCGTGACAGGGGGTGGCATCACAACCTCCCGATCCGCCCTGCTCTGTGCATGACAGGGGGCAGCGCCCCAACTCCCCAATCGGCCCTGCTCTGAGCCTGACCAGGGGCTGCACCTAGGGATTGGGCCTGCCCTCTGCCACCTGGGAGCAGGCCTAAGCCAGCAGGTCATTATCTCCTGAGGGGTCCCAGACTGCGAGAGGGCACAGGATGGGCTGAGGGACACCCCCCCCACCCCCCAGTGCACAAATTTTTGTGCACCGGGCCTCTAGTAAATAATAAAAAAAGAAATCCTACCATTTGTGACAACATGGATGGACCTAGTGGGTATTAAGTGAAATAAGTCAGAAAGATTAAATACCATATGATTTCACTTATATGCAGAATCTAAAGAACAAAATAAATGAACAAACAAAATTTAAATAGGCTCATAGATACAGAGAACATGCTGGGGGTTGTCAGAGGGGAGGGGGTTTGGGGCACTGGGTGAAAAAGGTGAAGGGATTGAGCAGAACAAATTGGGAGTTACAAATCAGTCATAAGGATGTAAAGTACAGCACAAGGAATACAGTTAATATTATAGTAACTATGTATGGTGCCAGGTGTGCCCTGAAAATATCGAAAAGACCACTTTGTAAAGTATAATCATCTAACTTGGAACTAATACAAAATAATATTGAATGTAAACTGTAATTGAATAAAATTAAAATATTAATAAAAAATTATTAACAAAATTCATGGGAAGGGAAAACTGGACAATGGCTTCTTTTGCCCTAAAATAAAGTCTAAATGCCTTAACGTGTCTTATAATGACCTGAGTGATCTAGCCACTGTCCACCTCTTCAATAATGTCATTACTTATCTCCAATTGTCTGCATATTTTATTCCCTCTGCCTCAAACGCTGCTCTTCCCTCCTTTAGCCTGCTACTCCATCATCCTCCTAATTTCAGTTTACACATACCCTCTCTCAGAAAGCCTTCTGTGACACCCAATCTGGGTTGGTGTTCTTCCTAGATGTTTCCAAAGCACCTTAAATTCCCCCAACTCACTACATTATTTCCAATCGCCAATTAGTATTATGACTTGCCTCTCTGCACACTCCCCATCAGCCCATCAACTCTATAGGACGGGGCTGCATCTGTCTGTTTCACCCTGCCCAGTGCCTGCCACATAGACGTCTTTCAGTAAATACCGAGTGAATGAAGATCAAGGAAGACATGTTCTGAACCATAGATTTCTCCACCAATTAACTTACTTCTTTGCAGAGGTTTCTAAGATCAGCTCCAGAGAAAAAACAGGTTTCTGCTGCTAAGTTTTCTAAAGAAACATCAGGTCCCACTGGCATGTTTTTTGTACAGACTTTCAAAATAGAAAGCCTGCCCTGGAACAAAATATAATATGTTTGTAACCTTATAACATTTATGTTTGATAGATGCTATATTAAAACATTTCAAGTTATAGTTGCCTATCAAATATATATATATGTGTGTGTGTGTGTGTGTGTGTGTGTGTATAAAAAAAGAATATAT